TTTTCTTTAGAAATTATTGCATGTGATAAAATAATATAGCAACATAATCTCAATTATTCTTCGAGCTAGCTATTAGACAAGGCTTGTAGCATTTTTTCGAACTAGGATTTACTGCTCTTGGGCAATATTTATGCAAGTGAAAATTACAGTCTATGCATCGAACGCCATCTGGAGCAACCCTCCTACTCAGCCTGCAGTGGGGCGAGCGCAATAGACTGATGTTCTCGCTTGCGAAAACTCAGTCTATAACACTGAAGGGCAAGCTGCAGCGACCGCCCGTTGTCAGGCTTGGGGGGGAATCTGTCCGGTCGGTGACGTCGGCGAAGCTGCTAGGGGTGGTGTTGGACGACCGTGGCACCTTCGCGGAGCATGCGGGCGATATCGGGGATAGGGCGGGGCGCTGTTTCGGCAAGATGTCGAGAGTCCGCGTCGTCATGGAGGGTTAGATATCACGCACTTAGGGCTATTTATCAGGGGACTTACATCGCTACGATCACGTACGCGGCGGCTGTATGGTTCGACAGGGCACTCTCGTATGTTGTGGCGAGTCGTTTGCTGCGCTCTCAAAGGGCGGCTCTGGTGCTTCTCACCAAAGCCTACAGGACTACCAGCACTCCGGCGCTGGCGATCTTAGGGAGGGTTCTTCATGCCAATCTCGAGGTATACCGCGCGGGAAAGGTGCAGGCGACGCGTGGGGATAGGGCGAAGGCGGAGCTCGCGAGGTTTTGAAAGGAGATCTACTCCGAGGTGGTGAGCATGTGGTTGGAGCGCTGGGAAGCGGAGAAAAGGGGGCGTGACCTTCAGCGTTTCTTCCCGTGCGTCAGGGGAAGTCTCCGCGCGAGTTGGGTATCGCCCGACTACGTCACTTCGCAACTTTTGGCAGGGCACGGGGCGTTCAACGGACGACTGAGGGAAATGGTCAGCGCACTGGAGTTGGACGAATGCGGTCCAGTGTACTTCGGGGACCTCGTGGCCTCAGAGGGTAACTTTGCCGCAATCCGCAAGTTTGCAAGCGCATGGCACGCACGGAGGAGTGAGATGGAAAAGGAGAAATAAAAAAAAATAAAAAAGAGAGGAAACAACAACCAACAGATAAGATTAAAAAAAAAGGAACGAAAAGAAACAGGAAGAGTTTACAACTTAAGAAAAACCGAGTATGGAGCAAAGGACGCTGAGTGGTCGCTATTCGCAAGGAGAGAGAGCCAGATCGTCGACGGCGAGGCGTCCTGTGCGTCAGCACAGCCCCACCGGTGGGGAGAATGTGCCTCAGGGACAGCGTAAGCGCATTTGTAGGGAGTCAAGAAAGTGCGGTTATACGCCAAGAGCAGTCCCGGTGCATCTCCCGTAGTTTCGGTCGCGACCCCGTCGGTATGGCCGAGAGGTCGGTAGGACCACGGGAAGGAGGTTGGTTATGCCCGAATGGCTGAGGATGAAGCAGTGGCGATCCCTGTCCTACCACGCGGTGCAGGTTTTGTCGGGGCACGGATGCTTCGGCAAATACCTGCACGGGATCCGGCGGGAGGAAACAGACTCCTGCCATCACTGCGGATGCGCCTCAGACACGGCGCAACACACCTTGGAGGCATGGACTCGCCCACGCCGGAGCATTCGGCGCGGATCTATCCCTGCCAGCCATTGAGGCGGGGATAGTTAGGAGCGCGGACGACGCTCCGTGGCGGGCCTTTGAGGCCTTCTGCGCCGACGCCTCTCGCGATAGGAGGAAGCGGAGAGGGCGAGTGAGATTGCTCCCGACGGAGAAGACTTGGGCAGCGCCGGCGCGATTACGCCCGGCGTCCGCCGTGACCTCGGTCTTAGGACCGAGCTTGGAGACGTGGCCATCAACCGGCCACGTAGGGCGTGCGGGAAACACGCGCGGCAGGACAAGGGCAACTAACCGCCCGCTCGCGTCCGGCAAGTCTCCTGTGGGCTCTTGGAGGTTTAGTGGGTAGTGGTCAAGCTGGCCGACCCCCATACCCCACACTTCCACAGACACCCCTCTCCCTGTAGCGAAGAAAGTGTTGGTAGAGAAACGACTCAGGGGCCGCCCGCCAACCACTGGCGAGTACGTCGGGCTGGCGGCCGCCCGCCAACCACTGGCGAGTACGTCGGGCTGGCGGCCGCCAAAAAGGCCCTTAACAAGGCCAAGAGGGAGGAGATCCGGCTCCAGGCGGAGGCTGAAGTCATGACCTCTGCCTCGGAGGCTCGATCTACGCGGCTTTTCTCTGCGGCGTCGCTTCAGTGGGACGAAAGGGACATAATGGGCACTTGTGTCCCCATGCCTCGTTCCGCCACCGACGCCATAAAAGGCATTGAGGAGAGTCTGGGCGTGATGTGAGTGAGTCCCGTGAGTCTCAAGGGGACCTTCGTCCTTGCTCTCAGTCAGGTTCTTCTGACGACACCTATCGTCGGAAGAACCGGGGCTTGACGCAGACGTGCGTCCGCATACAGGGGGGTCCATAGTGAACCTTACCTTTGCCAGCTTCGGGCTTGCGCGCCGCATCGTCGACTAAGAGGTGTTGGACGGGAAGGAGACGCTGTCAGATCACCGTTACGGCGATCCGTTGGCCTGGCGCCCCTCCGGCGCAGAAGGGCCCTCGTTGGGCCCTGAAGTCTCTGGACAGGGAGATGGTGGAGGTGGCCGCCTGGTGTCCAGAGCCGGAGTCCCCTTCGGTGAGGGAGGAGGGTGAAAGTGGTTCGGGGCAGCCTTGGAGCGAGACTTGGGCGGCGCCGGAGCGATTTTGCCCGGCGTCCGCCGTGACCTCGGTCTTAGGACCGAGCTTGAAGACGTGGCCATCAACCGGCCACGTAGGGCGAGCCGCGCGCGGGAAACAGGACCGCGGCAGGACACACGGGCGCGGGTATGCGGGTCGAGGGCAACTAACCGCCCGCTCGCGTCCGGCAAGTCTCCCGTGGGCTCTAAGAGGTTAAGTAAGTAGTGGTCAAGCTGGCCGACCCCCACACTCCCCCCGCCACTTGAGTGGCCAGGCGGGGGCGTCAGTAAAGAGTCGAGTCCTCCAAGTAACGGAAAAAATGGTTCTCCCCCACTCCCCCCAAGATCCAGGCCTTGTCGCGGCGAGGGGGCTCAGTAGTTGGTGCCTTTTACATAGTGGCCAGGTGCCTAATCGGGAACAGACTGTCTGTGGGTCTGCCGATTCTAGCCGCTATTCGCGTCCGGCAAGTCTCCCGTGGGCTCTTGGAGGTTTAGTGGGTAGTGGTCAAGCTGGCCGACCCCCACCTCCCCGCCACTCGATGGGCCAGGCGGGGGCGTCGGTAAAGAGTCGATTCCTCCAAGATAAAAAAAAAAAAAAAAAAAAAAAAAAAAAAAAAAAAGGTTAGGTTAGGTTAGGTTAGGTTTTTTTTTTTTTTTTTTTTTTTTTTTAACTTATTGGTACATTGGTATTGGTGTTTGAGTGATATACAGATTTTAGGGGAAGAAACTTTGTGGATGCTGCTATTGGATACAGTCTTTCCACAAAGTTCCTTTTACACTGGGTATTTACAAAATGTGGTTTCTTAGAATTAGAGTCGCTATACAAATCAAGTTTTCCTTAGTGTCTACAAGCTATACATTGACATTGTTTAACTTAAATTCTACATTTATATAATTGAGAGCTTTATTCTATTACAAAACATAATTTTCTTATATTTATACAAACAAAGTATTTACATATATATATAAGGTTATACAATGCTAAGTTGCTTGCTGTGAAGTTATTACAGTTGGGAATTTTAATTTTTACAATGAGAGAAATTTACTAGTTACATTTAAGTGTTATTGAACGATTTTAAGTTATTAACTATATATTTAATAAATTTATCGATGGCGTCGATCGCAGTACTGTTTAGAAGAGAGTCTTTTAGTGTGATGGTGTATGGCGTTTTGTGCCTAGTTTGTGCCTGTAGGCAATCGTGCCTTTGGGAGGAGAACCTGGAGCAGTCGTTTATGAGGTGTGTAAATGTTTGGATGCTAGTGTTGTCACAGGGGCATTTGTCGTCTGAAGTGATGTTAAATCTGTGCAAATATTGTTTAGTGTACGAGTGCCCTGTGACGAACTGAGTGAGGTGAAAAGAAACCGGAAGTGTCGTGTTAAGTTTGTGTATGTCTTTAAGTGATGGTAGGAGAGACCTGGTTGTTGCCCCCGTGGGCTCCTCCAAGTACCTCTTTTCCCAGTTGGTGTAGGAATTTAATCGTGCGATGTGTTTTATGTGAGATAAGGGGCAATTGATGAAATCGGGAGCCTTATGGGCTTTGGAAGCTGCTTTAGCAGCGGCATCTGCTTCCTCATTTCCTATGATGCCGGTATGGGCTCGAACCCATTTGAAATGTATTTTTGTGTGTTTGTTGTGGTGTAGTGTATTGTGTATGCTATTGACTAGAGGATTCGTGCTGGAAGGTTGCT